CAAAACCGGATTGCAAAGGTAAAATTTGTCACACTTTTTGCCGCGAATAAGAAAACATATGATCCCATCACAGCAACCCATCAAGAAGATTCTGCTGTTTCAAGAGATTAATCGATAGCTTCGATCAAGGCCATCTTTTTCAGATAGTTTCTCCGTTAAGTTCATGAATCCGGTCTTTAATCTGATCACACATGTGATCGTGAACTTTACAGCTGTCTTGGTTTATGTAAGTACTGTTATGATCGGCATTATTACCATTATTGTCCTCCTTATGGAAAAGCTTAAAATTGTCGGGAGAGGTTATAAGGTTTCGCCAATCCTTACATACGAAACATGATCGAAACAGGGCTTTCATTGGGAGCTTTGAGAAAATCTCCAGCATTACATCGAAAGGTAAAAACGGCAGCAGGCATGATGAATCGGAAATCGCCGCCTGCTTCTCAATAATCTTTTTCCTTCATTAATATACTGTATAATCCACATTTTGTTTAATAGGAACTAGAAGAGATTAATCAGGTACATATGTCTCATTAGGAGGATTGATTTCTGGTAGGATTCTGTTTCTTTTTTGATTGGTCCCTTAAAATCTCTAAAACTTAGAGATTTGATTTGATTCCATAACCATGATTAGTGACGGAACTAGAACTTTCAAGTTGGAGGGTCGAAAGGAAAAAGTAATTCTCACTTGTGGAAAAAGAGTAATTCTTACATGTACCAGAAGAAAAATAATAACATAAAAAATAAAGTTCATCGACAACGTCATCTCAAGTGGCTTATTTCTTCTTTGCACTTGCTAGTGATGGTATAATTACTTTTTTCCTCCCAACTGATGTATTACAAAGACGAGAACGAGTGGTAGTAGGCAATTGTGATCTTCGAGGTCCCATGTCTTGAAACCGCTGCATAATTGCTTCATTATCAACACTTGCAAAAATTTCTTTCTCAATGTAGCACACCAACAAATCAATAAGAAAATCATCACCCATCTTATTGTGCAAATCAGTCTTAATAAACTTCATTGCGGAGAAAGACCTTTCAACAGTAGCTGTTGCAACAGGCAAAACCAAAGCCAACTCGAGAAGACGATATACTAAAGCATAGTGTGATATCCCTTTACAACCATCTTCTTTGCAAGTTCTCCGATGTCATGAAGTTCATAAAAAGCTTCATTCTTTCTTCTCAATGTACCGGTTCAACTATGTTCTTAAAAGATTTAAATCAGAACTAACAAAATCTTCAGGATATAACTCCGCAAGATGTGCTAACCTTTCACTATTAAGTTTGCTAAATGAATCCCTAGGATCAAGGCATGCTATACACATAAGCAACTCTAAGTTTGTCTTTGTAAATCGGTCATTCATTTTATTGAAAACAAGATCAACAACCTAGCATTATAAGAAATATATATAATTAATACTTCATAACATGAAAAACAAATGTTACATGTTGTTAATTTCAATAATGAAAAATAACATACATGATAAAAAATATCTGCCTGATAATGATGGCGGTAAGTCTGTGGCTCATCATCAACTGTTCTCCTAACTCGGCCTGGAATGATATCTTCCATATTAGGCACACCTATCTCATTTTTTGAACAAAATATGATGACTTCTTTCAATAACTCCTCCCACTCATGATCCCTATACTTCTTCAAATCATACTTCACATCTTCAATCAATTGGACAGCATTGCCTATATTTTGATTCTTTAATTACAAGGTCTACAAAAGATCATTTGTATTTTCAAGTAAACTCATCATCAAATGAGCAATGAACACAAATTCAAAACTTTTCATTTTCTCGGCCAAACTCAAAGCATTGCCTTTAATTTCTCCATTGCCTTCTCTAGACAAAGCAATAAGTACTTCTCTTACCGGAGTCCACAACTGTAAAAGTCTATGAATTGTTTTAAAGTGAGATCCCCAACGAGTGTCACCCTGACGTGCCAAGCTCATTTCTTGATTTTTTTCCCTTTTCCGTAGAAATTTCACTCATCTCTATACGTGCAACGGAATCATCATATTGTTTTTGACGAATAGCATCTTTCCTTTTACATGAAACTCCAACAATATTCACAATCATACCAAGATAATCAAAAAAGTATTTCACACTAGAATGCTCCGATGAAGTAGCCACGACAACTAACTATATTTGATGAGCAAAACAATGAATGTAAAATGCAGATTTGTGTTCATCCAAAATGTTTTGTTTTAGTCCATGAAACTCACCTCCCATATTTGGATGCCCCATCATAGCCTTGTCCTCATAGTCTAGACATAGTTAATCCATGTTTTGCGAATAAACCTTCAATAGCACTCTTCAAAGATGATGCACAAGTGTTACTAACATGGACTACCCCAAGAAATCGTTCAATCACTTCTCCATCCTCATCCACAAATCTCAAACACATAGCCATTTGTTCCTTTGTAGAACAATCACGAGCCTCATCAATCGAAATAGAAAAGAATTTTCCTCCAATCTCATTCACAATAGTATTTCTCACCTCTGTAGCACATGCATTAACAATATCCTTTTGAACTTTTGGTGAAGTCAATTGGTGATTTCCTGGAACATTTAACTTCATCGCCCTATTAACTTCGTCATTATGCTCACAATACCATTTAATAAGTTCAAGAAAATTACCACGGTTCAAAGAAGTTACGGACTCATCATTTCCACGGAAAGGCATCTTGTTTTAGAAGGAATCGAATCACATCCACTACCGCAGTCAACCGAATGCGATAGTCGTTCTCATGCTCTTTAGTTGTTTTATGCCACGTATTCACCATATCTTCAAATGACTCAAATTGAACTCTAGCATTATTGTGTCTACTATCATTACCCCCTTCATGATCTCGGAACTTTTGAAATGCCTTTTTTCAATTTGTAAAACCATGTACTGTAAAGACATCATCTCCATTTTTATTACTGGTAGGAAACAAATAACACCATAAACAAAATGCGGCATCTTTCGGTGCACTATACTCTAACCAACAAAAATTATCAAACCATTTTTCTCGAAATCTTCTCAAGCATCCACTAATATTTATTTGAGGAAAAATTTGTCCTCTTGGTTGAGAAGGGCCTTTTGCTAAGTATCTACTCCTTACTTCATCTCGAATGTTAACCGAATAATCATTATTGATTTACGCAAAGCGGGATCACCAATAATTTCGTCTTCACATAACTCAAATTCTTCTCGGACCCTTTTACTATTACTCTCGTTGACATTCGAATTATTCGACGAAGACTCAATGCTTGGTTTAGGCTTCTTGCTAAAAAATCTATCCAAAGAAACATCCCTAGATAATAAAAAAAAATACAAGTCAAAACTAAAAATGAAAAAACACTCCTTAATCGTTAGCAAACTAAAGTGCTCAATTATATTATACTTCCCTATAAATGACGAAGACTAACAAGACCAAAAAAAATTAAATGCTGAAAAACACTTTAACTTTCTAGAGAACATATCAAACAAACGCACTAACTCACTAAGTGAAAAACTAGACCACAATTTATAAATAATCTGCCAACAATATTATAAAGTATTATACTAAACCCTAGAATAGAATAATAGAAAATTGAATAAACAAAAGAAAATAAAAAAGCTTACTTAAGTTTATTAGCCAGCAAAACTTCAGAGGAGGACACGAAGTCTGATTAGATCTTCAATTTTTGATCAAGTTTGCAAAAAGCTTAGGTGCCGCAGGAGCTTCTGAGTTCCGAAGTTTGTTGTCCTTTTCTTCTTTTTACAAATAAATTTCTGTTTAATTAAATTTGGGAGGCACATCTAACGTCTCGTTTTCTTCTTCTTTTGTTTAATGAAATATTACTTTAGTTTAAAAGCCAAAATTGAAAACAAAAAGGCCTTTTAAGTGAAGCCCACGTTCTGACTTTAAAAGAAAATTATTTGGGCCACAATTGACTTTGTTATTTTATATTTGTATTGGAAAAGAAGCTCAATGTCATCTTCTTCTTCGAGACTTCACCAAACATATACTCTTGCACCGGCAGCCGGGGGGTTCAGCCTGAAAAAATGAAGGCCGCCGGATACCTCCTATTAAAGGAAAATTATGCCAGCCAGGGGGTCGATCGACCCCCCTGACCCCCCTTAAATCCGTCACAGACCATGATTATCTCCTTTGTTTGGTTATATTTATCGCAAGTTTCAACTTTTACAAAGGTGGGGATTCATAAACCCGGATTAACAAGCTTTTATAAATTTTTATATATAAAAATAATTGAAGAGTAATTATTTGGAAGGAAAATGCTCAACAAAATCAAGTAAATATCTAAATCTTACTCCCTCCTCTGTGAAAGAAAAACAGTTCATATTTGATATTTCTAGTAATGGTGCCAAGATATTACTGGCAACCAAGAGCCCCACAACGGGTAGTTGCCGACAGGTCATAATGCCCTCTTGTTACATTTTGTGACAGCTTTTGGAAAATAACTTAGGGAAAAAGAAAAATATGAATAAAAATTATTTGGACTAGTTAAAAGAAAAAAAAAAATACCTCCCATGAAACTATTTTGGCTATTTTTTTTCCAATTAGGCTTGAGAAATATTTTTGTCCAAAAACCTAAAACGACGAAAAGGGCAAAACACAAGATGATGAGCTTGACATTGAAATAAGTTAGGACTGATATGACGACTCGACGAAAAACCTCGACAAAAAATACCTGATTTACCCCCATAAACTAGCATATAAAGCAAATTTGCGTCTTCGACCAACATCTTAAAAGGCTTCTTTCATGCTGTAAATTGATGTGGGTGGTGGATAGTGATTAGGAAAATGGAATGGTACCATTTGGGTTCTTTCTGACTAGTTGCGGAAAATTCTAAAAATTAAAAGGAAAAAAAAAGAAGAAGATTACGTTGCGTTGTAAAAAATTACACAAAGATAGTTTGGTTTCAATTGATAAGACTTATTTAGAAATATTTAGCTGACATACAAGTTTATTATATTGGAAAAAAAAAACAGAATTAAGCCAAAATCATTTGCAGGGAGGAAGAGGAGCGCCACAGAGGCATCTGTTGTGTAGAAAAGAATACTCATGGAATTGGAAGCTCTGCAATTCCCCACCTTGTGGAATCTCACCGCACAGCCTGTTATAACTCACATTCAGAGATCCCAACCTCATTTCAGTCAACCCCTGTGGAAGACTCCCAAAGATCTTATTGTGGCTCAAGTCCAAATACGTCAAGTTTACTGGAATCTCCACTTTGGAGAAATTGAATTCGAACATGTTCCTCGACAAATCGATGGATTGAACTGTCTTGCTCTTCCCGAACAAGAACGACGGATCCCCGTCGAGTTGGTTCCTCGATAAGTCAATCTCGATGGAGAAGTTCAAATTCCCAAATGATTCCGGAACAGGGCCGGGTGAGATTGTTGTGGGAGAGATAAATGTCGGGTGCAGTTCCGGCCCAGTGTCCAAAAGATTCCGGGATGCTTCCGGTGAGCTTGTTCCGATCTAAACGAATCGCTTGCAGATTCGGGAGCAGGGAAAGGGAAGGAGGGATGGAACCAGTGAATTCGTTGAATGATAAATCCAAGAAGTACAACGTCTTCATCTGGCTGAGGAATGAAGGAACAGGGCCGGAGAGTTTATTCCGGTCTGCCCGGAAAAAATTGATATCCGGGAGCTTTGGATGGTAGGATTTGACCGGTAAGATTGAGTTTGTGGAGATTCAGAATTTGAAGATATCGGAGGTCCGCTACCGGGGGTGGGATTGGGGCGGAGATGTTGCCGCTGAAAACCTCGAGCTGAATAATCCGGCCAGTATCTCGGTCGCATTCGTATGTAAAGCCGACAGCGTTGAGATTGACGTTGTACTTTATCCAGAATGCTTGAATTTCCTGTATCACTTTCAGGTCATCGGAATTGCATTCGGCATCTGAGAGGGCTGGTGAGGGCAGAGACAAAAAACAGAGGACTGAGATGAACACAATGACTATAACCGATGTGTTCATCATCATTTTTGCTGTTTGTTGTTATTGTTTTTGTATTCAATATCGAAATTGTTCACATTTATAGACAATTCCATAGTTTATTGACTGATATAAAGGGTTATAGCTTTAGAGGTAAGAAGTGGACAAAAATGAAAGGTGATGGATAATGTTACATTCGTTGTGTTTGAACATTCAACACTTTGCAAGTTGCAACACCTTCTTCAATCAGCAACTTATGAACCGGCATTGGGTTATTCGAACTCAAGCATATAATTTTTTTTTGTAATACTCCCATATCTTCAAAGCTTATTAATCAGACCAATAAGTATAATTTTGTAGTTGATCACTTTACCACACCAAAGGGGAAAGAATCCAGAAGGAATTAATCGATTCGATAGAGGTTCCATTGGTCTGATTTTTCTGTTTCATGGTTTGGATTTAGCAGATAGGTTGAATTTGTAGCCCCATTTCCTCTCCATAGAGTCTTAGACGACTATAAGTTGATACAATTGATAACAATATGCATAGGTTAAAGTACTCATAAAACTAAAGTTGTCCTGTACTTAAATGTATACGGTGTTTACAAGTTCAATTTAAATAAAAAGAATTATTTTATCGACTTTTTCATTTATAGTTTTTTTTGGCAAAATACAACTACATTAGTTTCTTGTGTCAACTTGGTCGTCTAATTAGAAAAGTCGACGGTCAAATTGTTGCAAATTGCAATTTTGACGACAATTTTATAAAGTTTTGCATAAAACACTGTTCAATATTTTGATCTTAACATGAAAAACAAAAATCATTGAGAAAAGAGAAATGTTTGGTCCCCCTAGCTGTAATTACACGTTTGAATAGAATCAAAAGTTGGAGGGAAAAGAAAAAACAATGGGCCAACGCGTTACTTGTCGAAGGCCGCAATTCGACCAACTCCAACATCAAACGCTGCATGAATAATACATCTTTGTTTTCTTTTTCTTTTTTTTTAAAAGGTTTTTTAAGTTTTTGTTAAAATTGTTATCCCCTTTTCTTCATAATCCCCTCATAATTAACTATTGCCAAGTCATCATGTTTTTCCACATGTTTTAATTGTAAATTCTTAATGGAAATATATCTAAATAGAAAATTAATAATTCTACAGAAAATATTCTCAAGCACAAGTAAAAAGAGGAAAAAAGCCTTATTTCGTGTGACGAAAATGAGGAAAGGGAGGTCAACAACTGAATTTTTATGATTTGGGGATGATTTTGGTTGGATTATGCTCCATTTCTCTGTTGTATATAATATTTGCATTGTGGCGGGTATATATAATTTAATGGTAAAAGTGTGATTCGTTTTATTAACCCTTCAAAAGTTAAAGGGTCTTCATATTCTGAGAAAAAATTTTATTTTCTATATAAAAAAAAATAAACCCTTTAATCGAGAAAAATATAAAATCCCGTGATTTGTATCCAATACTCACTTAGAAAAAAATGAAAGTGGATAATGAAGTTGCAAAACACAAATTTTGAATTGAATTGGATTAGAATATTAATCCTTGAATAAGTAAAAGATCCCTGAATGCAGGTACAAAGTATAGGCTTCGAATCATATTAAATCTTCAACTTTTTCTATACAAAGAATTGAAGCAAAATAGCTCTTTAATAATGCACGTACTTTACTAGAGTCATCAATTATTCTCATAATATGCAGTTACCACAGTCATCAACATACTCCTTTAGAATGTATTGGAAAAACATGACTAATTTCCTCATAGTGGTTAATTATGAGGAAAAAAATTTAAATGTTAAAATGTACCCAAACAGAGAGGGGGATGGATGTGTGTTGATGGGAAGCTGTTAAAGTCCAGAAAGGAGTACGCGTGTATGACTTGCATTAAAATTCCATGGAAGGGACCTTAGTTTGACCTTTTCAAATCTGAATGAATCATTGGGTACAGAGCAGTGAACTAATGTTTAAATTCGTAATAATTATAAGTTGAGTCAAATGATTCATGAAACACGACGAAAAAGAATTCACGAGAGTTATTCTCAAACACTCATTAGCTTCAGCTCCTGCTGACAGCACTAGCGAGTATTGTCTTCTGAATTCCGATTAACAGTTATTTTGAAACAAGAGGGAATAGAATAATGTTTGATGAATTAGTTGTAACAGTATTATCCTAATCTAGTCTGATATTCAAACGTCAGCAATGATCGACCCGACCTTCTTGTCATAATAATATGCTTCTAGTACTCTTATCTGGATTCAACTCTATCATCACGGAATCTTCTAATACATTACATAATCACACCAAGATTCGAATCATGATTATAATATTTAAATGTCGTCAACATGAACTTCCACCTGTTCGGTTCAGAAAATCGTGGAAGAATTTATATACGTAAGAAAAAAGAAAAAAAACCATAAACATTCTCAAAACAACGTACGACACACAGTAATTTATTCATTGATACCGTTTTTTTTTTCTGGTTCCGACTAATTGAGCACATGTACGGACACACGCTTACAACCCCAGCAGCTAGGTGGAGCAGGCAGGAAGGGGAGCTCCACACAAGCATTTGTTGTTGCTATATTGCATTGGGGCGAACCTCTGAAGGATGCCGCCTTGAGGAATCTTCCCACAAAGGTTATTATAACTCACATCCAAAGACTGCAACTTCAATTGAGTCAACCCTTCAGGAAGTCTCCCAAAGATTTTGTTATGATCCAGTAACAAATTTTTCAAGCTGTCCGGAAATGCAACGTTGGAAAGATCGAACTCAAACAAGTTCGAGCTCAGCTCAACTGTAATAACCGTCTTGTTTTTCCCGAACAGAAACGTCGGGTCCCCGGTCAGGTTGTTGGATGACAAGTTGATCTCCGAGGAGAAGTTAACATAGCCTAAGGACTTGGGAACCGGGCCGCTGAGAAAATTGTTGGATAGGAAAAGATCGGGTGTCTTTCCGACAAAGTGCCCGAAGGACTCCGGGATGGGTCCGGTCAGACGGTTGTGTCCCAAGTCGATTCCGAGGATGCTTGGAAGTTTAGAAAGGGAACTTGGAATGGAACCGCTGAAGAGATTGTAAGATAAGTCCAATAATCTTAGACTCTTGAAGTTGCCGAGAGATGGAGGAATCGGGCCGGAGAGCTTGTTACCGTAGAGACCGAGTATTTCGAGGCGAGTAAGGCGGGTGATGGTGGAAGGAATTGTCCCGGTGAGATTCGTGAGGAAGCTTATGTCGAGGAATCGGAGATACTGGAGGTTGCCGATGGCCGGCGAGATTTGGCCGGATACTTCCCGGTCAGAAATCCTGAGACTAGTGACTTTGCCGGTGTCGCATTCGACGCCGAACCAAGAACAACAATCGGTGGTTGGAACCCAATCGGCCAAGTTATCGGGGTTGTTGAGGCCTTGCTTGATTTGTAGAAGTGCATTTTTGTCGTTTGAATTGCACTTTAAGTCGTCGGCGGCGCCGGTAGATGGAGATGGAAGAGAAAGGAAGAGGAGGAGGTGGAAGAACGAAATGGGAAGAACAATGGCTTGTGTGAAAGTTGACGTCTTCATCACTTTTCATGAATTTGGATTGTGTTGCATGCACATGCAAATGCAAGTTGTAGGAAATTGAGTGAAAATGTGGGAATGATTTTTTCTTGCTGCCAGTCTAGCTAGGACCATAGAACATTATAAGCTTAGTGCTTCCCTGATTTTTCCGTGTGAATCCATATCCAACATTGCATGCCTGGAGATTGAAGTGAGCCACATTCACCTATCACATAATTTTATGGTCAATTTTTTAGTGTAATTGGCATTGTTGAACTCGAGAGCTTATTCGATTGGACTCATGACGATTTCGGGAGAGTTTATTTGACTATATTACGATAGGCAGTAGGGTTTGGTAAATGGCTTGTGTAACATACATGTATTTGACTTAGAATCAATTACCATTATTTACGGAGAACTTTGTATATAACAAACCCTAAAAGATCAAAGAAGGGCAAGGAAGACTGCCGCTTTCTTCATTCTTCTTCCTTTTTCATGATATCAAGAGCAGGTTAAATTTTTTTTTGCCTGGGCTATATATATCTAATCCCAATTTTTCTAAGTCTGGCTCTTCTAGTGATGAAGAGATGGATATTCACAAAATTATTTCCCCATATGTCGAATGACAATCCAGATTTTAATCACCCACATTCTCTTAAAATGAATCTAATTACGATGAATAGTACAAGGGGTCCGAGTTGCACTCCGAACACGCAAGAAATATGGATTCATTGACGATTCGCTAAAGCAGCTAAAGAAATAGTCCAATTTAGATTATTAATTGTTGGACCATCCAGACCATGATTCTTATTTAATGGATCATGAATGTTATGTCATATTGTCCTCATGTGAATTTAGATGATTCGACTGGATCGGATTTGAATTCTTGATCGCATTTCGTTGTATGGGAATCATATATTGTCCTATCGTGAATTTTTCTATAGTTCCATTGTCTTCTGAACCCAAACAAAATTATAGTGCTCTATTTTTTTTTCTTTCTAAAAGATAAAACATATATTAGAAACTACATAATATTACATAAGAATTATTGGTAATATATATAAACTCTATACCTCATCTAATTTAGCCCTATCTACCCCACTAGCTTACAATTATGAATCAATTTGGTAGTAAATGAATTATTTCTTCAAATTCGTTCAAGAAAACCCACACGTTTCTCAGAATATGTTGATTCTATAGGAACGTCTACTTCTCATAATTTTTGAGCTTCTTGAGCACTGCATTCTATGCAATAATATTTGAGAATTTCAAGTTGAGTGGCTCTACATGCATAAGCTTCTGATTGCGAGGCCGGTAAGGCATATGAATTTTTCCGCTTTAGTTTGTATAAGATTAATCCGCCATCAATATTCATATAATCACAATAAAATATGAATTTTTCAATATTCAATATTCATCAACAAAATTATGAATTTTTCACCATTAATAATTATACTCGTGCACTAGGAAATTGCTGGCTAACAATAAAATATCATTAAATACGAAACAAAACACAATATTCTTCTTGAGATTGATATGTCAGTCATCAATTTGACAAGATAGAAACTTAGGAAGCAAATGAAACAAACTAAGTGAACTAACAAATGGTTATATAAACATTGACAAAAGCCTAATTAATACAGCCGAGAAATTGCAAACTAATTCGAATTTTGATGCTTTCGAATCAGTATATTATTCGTTCACATCTTTTATTCTTCTTCTCAGACCGCAGCGAAGCAAATTAACAAACAGCATGGGGAACGGGTTTACTTATCAAACTCTTCCCCTGTTTTTCATTTTTTTCAGAATCATTTGCAGGGAGACAGAGGAGCACCACAAAGGCATCTGTTATGGAAATAAGAGTACTGATCGAACCTCTGCAAGTCTCCACCACGTGGGATCTTACCACAAAGCCTGTTGTAACTCACATTCAGGAATTGCAAGTTCAATCGAGTCAACCCCTGTGGAAGACTCCCAAAGATCCTGTTGTGGTTCAAGTCTAAATTCGTCAAATTCACTGGAAATTGCACTTTAGAAAGATCGAATTCGAACAGATTCCTCGATAAATCGATGAACAGAACCGTCTTGCTCCTCCCAAACAAGAAAGATACATCCCCTACAAGCTTGTTTCTGGACAAGTCAATTGTGGACGGAAAGTTCAAACTGCCCAAAGATGCTGGAACAGGGCCGGTGAGCTGGTTGTGGGAGAGGAAAATATTGGGTGTCTTTCCGGCCCAGTGTCCGAAAGATTCCGGGATGCTTCCGGTGAGCTTGTTCCGATCTAGATGAATCTCTTCGAGATTCGGGAGCTGGGAAAGGGAAGGAGGGATGGAACCTGTGAGATCGTTGAATGACAAGTCTAAATAAGTCAAGGACTTGAGTTGGCTGAGGAATGAAGGAACAGGGCCGGAGAGATTAGTCCAGCTCAGGGTAAGATCTCTGAGACGGGTTAATTTGGTGATGGCAGATGGGATTTGGCCATGAAGATTTGTGAGCTTTCTGAATACCAAGGTTTCGAGATACGGGAGGTCGCCGACGGCAGGTGGGATTTGGCCGGAGATGTTACCGGAGAAGATGGTGAGAGCCTTGACTCGGCCATTATTCCGGTCACATTCCATAGCATACCAAGTACAGCAATCTTCCTCAGGGTTCCATGAGGCCAAGTGATAGGGATTATTCAGGGCTGCTTTGATTTGCAGAAGGACTTTCTTGTCCTGGGAATTGCATTTGGGACGGGCTGAGAAGGCCGGAAATGGCAGAGACAGAAAGAGGAGAAGGGAAATGGACACTACAATTTTAGCTGATGTCTTCATGACTGAGGAGTTTTGGTGCATGCTTTTTGAAAATTGTGGTCAAGTTTGTAGGATATATATAGCCAGCTGCTGCAATGTCCCTCTAGTTGTTGTTTAGTTTAAATAGTCCTGGAAAAAAAGAACAGAATTAAACTAACTCGAATTTCTAAATCATAGTATGATATATTTATAAATTGTTTCTAAGAGATGATTTTTGATTATTTAACAGGTATCACCTTAACTAAAGCTCAAATTAATTCAAACTTAGACATAATATGGATTAATTGTTAAGAATGAAAGATTCGTTTCCACTTCATCAAAAGATATTGAAAGATTTTGGCATTACTGTCGGACCTGAACGATACAAAGAGTAACGTTATAAAAGTTTAGACTAGGGTTTGTACCTGATTCTGGCAAAAATGAATAAGAAAAAGAAGAGATCAGAATTGGTGAAAGGGAAAAAGAATGACAGGATGAAAAGGATGAGAGAGGGAAGGATAAAAAAGGAGATGAGAAGAAGATATTTTGCATTAATCATCCATAATCATCATGTTCGTACATCATTTGCTTAAATCCTTATCCTCAATTACTGACTTGATTTACTTCTAACTGCATAAAATTAACTAGGGTATTAAAAAAGGAATCTAAAGCCAGCTTCCAGGAAGTTTCCTTCATGTACATTTCAGCAACTTTTGCCCCAATTAAGCTCAAAACGACGTCTTCTGCTCCCAATTCTTAATCCCTAATTGATTTTAGTACTTGACCGGCTGTTGATGACCCGAACTGCGTGACAATAGGCTTATAACCAACCACTTAATTCTCACGATCTATTAAATTTTTTTTTTTCGAATTTCATACCTATATAGCATTGCATATTTTTTTATCGGTCATAAGGAGTAATCTCATTGCCTATTTCAATTGATAGTAATTTTACTCTGATTGGTGTTGGTTTGGCAACCCCAAATGTTTATGTTTCAAAGGAAAATTTTACTCATTTTCCACTATACTAATAGATTGTAATGGTCTAGCAGTTTGAGAGGAGTTGCCTTGAAAAAATTAATGTTTATTAAACTAAAAAATATTTTATACATATGTTATAATGGTCAGGTTTAATAATTTGGTTTTAAAGTAAAGAATTAATACGTAAACCTTACCAGAAAAAAAAAAGTCAGCTGCAAATGCTAAACGAGGATATATACAGGGCCAAATGACCTTTTCGACCTAAACCGGGACGTACGGTAAGATTAGAAGTTTTAAATAAGATGTCGTTTCCTACTCTTCATTAAAAAATCCCATAAACTAACACTTTTTTAAGATACACAGAAATACTTTTTTCATTTGTGGTCGAACAAGGTCCCGATTTCTACAAAATTCTATTAAGCCATAATTCTTTATGTTAATTAAATAGCCACCTCATCATCCCTAATTCTTAATCCTCAATTATTTTTCATTACAAAAAAAGGGCGTTGTAACATTGTTTACTCGTCTCAGTTCGATACTACTAATTATTATCTAGTAAAATCATCATTAAGCGATGTTGATACTAACAAGTGAAAGAGGAGAATTTATAGCACGCATCGGGCGTACCACATCAGTGCCCAATCTCCAAATGACACTGTAAATTTTAAACCTTTAACTAGCAATTTTTATTCCTGATTTTGCATTAAAGCAGTAACTGTTGCTGTAAAATCCGAAAATTCAAAATTAACAATACATCTCGGACGATTCAAACAGTCGCTGCTCCTACCACCAGTGCCGGAAAATGAACTAAAAATGACAAACTAGAAAAAGGATGAATCTGATACTTGTGCGGTGGATGAACTGGAAAAATGGAATAAAAATTTAATATTTCAAGTCGTTGGGCATCAGGCCAAATCTTTCTGGATTTGTATCATGGTAACTTGCTCATATATGTTAACTTTTTCGAAGTACATGAAGAAAATGATAAAACTGCAGTGCACACATGCACCACGTTATAAACATGGTTCAACAATGTGAAACTAGTGGATTCCAGCAAAAAAAAAAGGGGGTGTACGTAGTTATGACTTGATTGTTGTCAGAGTGCTTTGTATTCTGTTCTTACACTTTAACAAAAGATATTAACGAAGAGAAGGAGTCTTAGAGAATTAAGACCCAATAAGGAAAAAGAAATGATAACTTCATGCGTTAGTCAAAGAAAGCTTCATTTTGCTGGTTTCATAATAGTTGTTTCACTTGGTACATTTTTTTCGATTTCAAAATCGAGTCAGAAGCTTCAATTTGAAATTCCACTCAGTTATAGCAATACATTTCAGTCTCATATATATTTTGGGTTCAATGTTTACATTTCTTTGTAAATGAATAAAAACTATCATATGTTGTGTTAATATTAAACATTACTCTCATTCAAAACAAAACAATCAACTATAGTTGATTCTTTGTAGTAACATTTATGAATTTTTTTTTCCCCTTATTTCTTGATAGATCGTCATTCCAATTGCTTGACGGTATCTATGAGGAGCGGAGGCTGATAGAATAGGTATTTAAGGAAACTAAATTAGGGTTTCCGGTGTAAAAAAGGGAGTGTAAAAAAGTTGTGGTAAAAATTGAATTGGGGTAACGAATACAGGGAAAAACGAGAAACACGTTATTGTACTCCAAAGTGTTAATAATTACACATCTTTTGGAGATTCTTTTACTGCACCATATCACGGGGGTTGCTGAAGTGGTACACCGTACCAGTCTTACACCCACTACATGCAATGATTTATCGTGAAGAGAAAGAGACCCAAATGATTTTCCAGAATTATAATCCGTTTTGAGCCTTAGACCATTGAACAATTAAAGTTACCCTAGCTGATAAACGATATCATGTCATTCTACTGAAAACAGGTAAAAGTCTTGAACCACGATATGGCGTAAACGTCAGGAGTGTGTCGGTCATATTTATATATTGATTGATGTTACGTGACTTTGCGTTCTTCTATATTTTTTGGAAAATGATTCCATAGTCGATGAGGTAATCGAAGGAGTCCATGGGTACCTTTGCCCGATTTGTTAGCAAAGGAAATAAAAGGATTTTAAAGACAGTTCGATTCATCATGAAAGACAAACTAATTGTAGTCTGTCGTATTTTTTTTCTTTTTTTTTTATCTTCTTTTATAGTTGAAGCTAATGTTTTTATAAACTCCTTGTTTATAATACCTCTATCCCAAAATAAATTTTCAGATTTTATTTTTCTTATTAGTATGATTTGTATTATAAAAGTGAAAATTCAAAATAACCAATTATTTCATATCGAATCTCATAAATAAGAACAGTGAATACAAAGATTGTTCAAACTAATTAACAATCCACACAAAATTCAAAGATATAATAATCCATACATACACATGCTAAGGGAATTGTCGAAAGTATAATAATCCATACACATGTTAAGGGAGAATAAATTTCTTACTGAATTGTTGGGTTGTATTTGTACATTACTCTATGACTTCATCTTCTATCTTATAAACATAGCCAACATCTTCTATCTTATAAACATAGCCAACGATGTCAATTGCATTAAAAATACTACTAGTATTTAATATATTTTTAGTACGATTATCAAAGTTTAATGCAGACTACTTTTGGGACACAATGTGTACAATTCACATTTTATTATTTTTGACGTAATAAAGAGTACCACTTGTGTGCATAACAGTATGGAGTGAAATCAAGAAATTCCATAAGTGGCTACGCCTACGCGTCTATGACTTTATGCTGAAAACTCCATGAAAGGGGTCCGATTTTCCAAAGCTCATCAATTATTGTACTAGCACTGCTGGAATTATAGATCTGATCTTTATATTTCATTATGTAATTAATGACTATAGTACTACTACTAGATATATAGGCTATGGCTGTGCACTACCTCATATAATTTTAGTTTAGAAATGGATTAAATATTGTGTATTCATATAATTATAATTTTAGTATTAATTAGTTGTAAGTATGAGAAATTAAAGGAAGGATTCCAGAACAATGAGTAAACCAATGAACTCCTAATATGTATACATTCTTTTTAGTTTTATAGTAGTAAAAGAAGGATAAAAAATGTAAAGAAAGTTCATGCAATGAAATCCTTTAGGGAGGAGCGTAAACTTGATATTCTTCCATGTAAAAAAGACTTGGCCAAAGATATTAAGCTGATGAATTGGAATTATTTTCTTAAAAAACTTTATACCAAAGCCCGCATTTGAGATTGAGTTCCACGTGTCATTGGAAGGTTTATATATATATATATATAAATGACCAACGAGACTCTAGATTTTCTATATATACACACACATATATATATGTATATAGAAAATCTAGAGTCTCATTGGTCATTTTTACGGAACTCTCTCGTTTTGTCTTCAACCAATCAAAATTGAGGGTATAACATGTAATCATGTGGTTAATAACATTCTATAATTTCCAAAACTAATTAAGAAAATGGTCAATTTTTTTCCATAACTTCAAGTGTCTAGCCAATTTGACCCAAAAGATTTTAGGAAAACCAAATTCATCATATAAATTTCAATTATTTGCCAATTTAATCCAGTTAATGAGAATTTTGTTAGATTTAATATTTTCACTAACATCTTTAGTTTTTTATTGGTAAAAAATTTTGTTGACAATAAATTTTAACATTTTATTCTTAATGTTTTGTTATTCAGTAACATACGCTTATCTTAACATTTAATTATTATAACGTCCCTATTATAAAATTTATCTTCTAATCTAATCTATTACTCCCATCTGAAGCCTTTTTTTTTTTTTTGTTCTCCCACCCTAAGCTTCTTCCTTTTCTTCCTCCACCTTCCTCTACTTGTTTTCCGCCGTTGCACCACTACCGCCCCATTCCTCTTCTCCCTTAAAAATTACCATCACCACTTCCTAAATCTGTGAATCCAAACCATCACTACAAACATAAAAATTTACCTCCACTAACAGTACACAATTCTCCCTCCATCACTACCCGCATTTCTGCCGCCACCACTTTTCTTCAATTCCACAAAAGTTACAAAATACTTTACGTATTTATTCGATTTTTTTTCTTCTTGATTCTTAAAGAAGTAATGGTCCTCCCTCTACCTGCACCATTTGTCCCTTGTCCACTTCTTCTCCATGGCATCTGAAAAAGAAATCATTACGGAGATACACTTATCTTTTTTAGCAAGTTGTTATTGAAATTTATTTTTACCGTTCCATTCTTCAAAATTCTTTACCCAGAAAATATCCTTTTACATCTCGTGAGTGTTGATTTAGAGGGTAATGTTATTTCACTTATTAAAGACATTTTTCTTTCATTAAACTCAGTTAATTACTAACTTTAAATTCAAGGTCTATCATTTAAATCGATGTACTATGCGGAAGAAGGAAAATTAATGCATCTACATGACCGTTAAGATGGCCAAATGTGATGATAGTGGTGTTGGCAGCTGGAGGTGATGATAGATACCCATTTTTATTGTACTTTTTTTTTTAAGAAAATAACAAAATAATGAAGATCATGAACAAACAAAATTGATGGTGGATAACAAAATCTCTCAAAATTAATAGAATCTTTAGGGTTA